AGGAGGAAGTACATCGAGTTTCCTAACGGTTTATGTTTAACGGTTTTTCTTCGCATATTTCCATTATAGACAGGTCTTGAGCAAGCGAGTAATTCTGACACGTATAAAATTGAACTGGTACAAGATAAACATTTCTCCCTTTGCTTTTTGACAATTGAACCATTTAAAATCAAATAAATATACAAAATTATTAATAAATTGCGGGAGCACAAAAATCCCCGACTGAACGCCATGATGGCGCGCGTGCGCGTCATTTGGGCTCTTATGCAAAGATCTACCCGCGTTTTTGTCAGCAGTATTGCTGCAATCTTGTACAACACAACGCGATGAAGGCATGATCGAGTTTCACTATAGTCGCGTATATATTTTTATGTTGCACGTCCAGCATGTGTTGAGACTATGACGTCACACACTTCCGAACACTTGAACTTTCGAATATGGCGGATTTTAATGGCGGCCGCCAAAATTCGAATTTCATCGTCGTATAACTCAGGCCAAATATGAGATATCACGCTAAAATTTTGCATGATAGCTTCTTTATACATATTCTTCACAATCATGGAAAAAAACCCAGAAATCACGGTCAGCTACAGTCGCACTTTAACTTGTCAATCGAAACACAATAACAATCCCATATATGATCCTCACGGACGCATTTATTAATGGATTAATTAATATGAATTAAAGTATTAAGAATTCGTGACAAATGGATATAGGTAATGGGAACCATTTAGTGTAGTGGCGTAACGCTCATTGGGTAGGGTTAGTTCAAAAGCTAAGGGCCCCCAACAATTAGGGGCCCCCATCAGCCACGGCCTATCGCCCAGAAACTTAGAAAACGTAAAAAATGCAGGTCAAATATCAATGGGAAACTGCAAAATTAATAATGCTAAATAATGAAGCCTCCATCGACAACGGTAGCTGATAAAACAAAAGTTATTCTAATTAGTTGTTACATGTGTTGAAGACTGTTATTAGGGAGCTTTAGATTTGACTACGAGTAGGACTACGAGTACGAGATTCGTCAAGCGAAACGCATGCTGTATGCTTACGCCACCCGTACTGACGCGAAAAAGTCGTGGCCGTCGCCAATCTGAGAAAGAAATTGTGGAGAAATCTCGTAGTCCTCACGACGACGAAAAAAACAAAGAAAGTTGGCTTTTTTTTTGTTTTTCAAAAATTATTTGCAGCGTTTATCCGGGAAAATAATCTATTAGTATTAATGACTTATTTGCAATATATTTATATCCAGTATCGCTATAATCAATGATTTTTTGTATTTTATCGCTTTTGTAGATACTTCGCACAGAAAGATATTTAATTGATGACCTAGATTTTGCTCCACGTCCAATGGCAGTGAAACCATTTTCCAAAGAACAATTGAATTTTTTTAAGTTTTCTACACTTGTTCTTGATGAGTTTCCCAAGGTGTTGCGTCAAATTTTTATCACCATGTGGGACAGCAAGGTTGCTGTAAGACCAGGATTCATTTCATGGGATGACAGTATCACGGTACGGAACATGCTTCTTAAATCAGAAGGTAGTAAAACAGATATACCAACTAAGAAATCAATTGAGGAGTGGGACTGCACAGCTTTGTTTAAAGCAACAATATATGCCAAAACCTTTGGTGTTCCAAGCAGCAAGGGATCAACTTTGAATGATTTATATTTGAAGAAAGTTAAACCACCTCTTGGTTCTTTTCATTCATCAGTTCAAAGTTCAAAAGGAAATCAAGATGAAACCTACGCCTTGGCAGTTGACCAACTTCGATTATTGAGGAACACACTTTGTCATTCACCCAAACCTGAAATAATTAAAACTGATTTTGACAATTATGTTCAGCTAGTAACCAACGCATTAATAGCAGTCAATATTGATGCCGCTTTTGTGAATACTATTGGTCAAATGAGCGAGGATGATTTCCCTACGGAGAGAGTTCAAGAATTACATGAATGTCGTGTAAAGGAGTTACAAGCCAACAGTGTGTTTCATGAGAATATGGAGCAGAAATTGTCCTCTATTGACGTACGAACAGATGAAATTCATACAATGATGAAAAATATAAATTTGGGAGAAAAGGCAGCTGTACCAGGTAACGTGAAAATGTTTTACCATGCAAAGCATTGTGTTGTGTAATAGCTCATTTTATTCATTTTGCAAATAGGTTTAACTGTAATTGAATGTCTTATCGCGTAGTTAGGATTATTAAATTTGACATTTTTTCATTATTTGTAAAAAAAACGCTCAAGAGTACATGCGGAAACAGATTTAAACATTTAAGGAATTAATATGCCTTTTAAAACATTATTAAGATTAAAGCATTTACATGAATGTAAAATTCACAGTTAGAAACCAGTTAAGAATGATGGAGATGTTTGTTGCTTTTCTCCGATCAGTATCGATGGTTTTGTTAATCTACCTTGCTATGAATCTGATAGTTTTGCCTGGAATAAGAGATGTCAATGTTACAAGTCTCTAGTACTATACATGCTGTGGGAAGCGTGACAATTGAAAATTGTAAAAAACCAATACAACCCCATTTACACTACGCTCAATTTTTGGTACGGCACAGATAAAATTGGTACCCGTACCACTTTTTTGGTTCTTGGACTATCTATTTACGTAGTCCAAGAATTAAAAAGTGGCACCGTACCAAATATCAGCGAGCGTGGTGTAAACGGGGCTTAAATGTATATTTGGCTTTCGAAAGTAACATAGTTACGTCGAACAAAGTTTACTAACTATATAACACAATCGTTTTTATATAATGTAAGTTAGAATCTCGTGTTTATATTTAACTACTTAATAAATTTAATTAATTAATAGCATATTATTAAACCTATAGAAACATTACCCAAGTCATATGTTCCAAGCGCTGTTCCCTTGTTTACTGGCCGAGAAGATGAAATTGAAGAAATTACAAACCTTATAACTGGTCAGTCAACACGACTGCTAAACATCTGGGGAACTCCTGGATTTGGTAAGACATCCACAGCTATTGAAGTAGCACGTCATCTTTTGTATCTCGGCAGTCCTGTTTATTTTTTTAAATTGCAGGGTATTAGAACAGTAGATGGATTTTTATCTAAAATTTTAAGTATTTTTAAGAGTAATTTAGCAGATCTTAGTTTAGCACCTATTGACAAGCTAGTGAGTATTCTAAGAGAACTTTCGTGTCGAATTTTTCTTATATTTGATAATCTTGATGATCTTCTGTTGAGTGAAAACTGTACCGTTAGACTTACGGACTTATTTGGACAATTGTTAGACAGTAATGTTAACGTTAATGTAGTTTTTACAACGAGGGAGCTTTTAGAAAGTATGCGCGATCTAATAGAATGTTTTCGAGACATCCGAATTCGACCCCTTCATCCATTTTGGTCTGTTGAATTTGTTCGTAAACTTCTTCCTTCATTTTCTGAAAGTGTTGTTGCAAATGTGGCTAGAATTTCTTCCAATGTTCCTCTGGCAATGAAAGTCGTTGCTTCGATAGTTGAAAACAATAATGAAGATATGGCGGATAAAATACTTAAAGAATTAAGTCTTTCGGGAAATCTTTTAGAGATAGGCAGGTCATTCGAGCAAAACATGAAAAGGGTATTCGAGACCCCTTTTGAGCAGCTGATGTTAAGTGACAAACATGCGCTGATTTCTCTAACCGTGTTTTCATCCAGTAGAATAAGTAAAGATGCTGCAGTTGACGTTATTTTAGATGAAATGGGAGTTGTGAAAGCTGTAGAGAGCCTAAAAACACTTGTGAAGAAATCACTAATTGACGAAGATCCCTGTGAAAAATATTACTCCATTCACCCTCTCATTCATTCTTTTGTTGTAGATAAAGCAAAACAAAGTAATTTTGAGGATGTTTTTCAATCCTCTAGAATTCGCTTTTGTGGTTATTACTTTCTTCTTTTTGAAAGGATTAATGACGATTTCCTTTCTGGTAAGTCGGTGAATATTCCTCAACTGGAAGACGCAATGGAGCATCTGTCGATTGCCATTTGTTATTTTACGACAAGCGCATGTAGTTCGGAAAATTGCCAAGATCTTTTTCACATCTTATCCAAGTCTGAAATATTTCTTTTTCTTTTTGGTTTACCCTACATTGAATCGCTAGATATTTCCAAATTATATGATTTTGCTATAGAAAAATGCAGAACACAGCAATACAATGACGCTTACTCAAAGTTGCATGTCAGCAAGTATTTTCAAAGTATTGCATTACCACTATTTTTTTCATCTAAGTATTTAGAAATACCTGAACATGTACGCGAAGACGTCATGTTGTCATCGGATGGTAGTGCAGCAAAATTAGGTTGCTATGAAGGAATTTCACTAATTTCCAAAGGAAATATGAAGTCAGGTATTGAATGTATTGAAAAACATGTCGATGGTTTACAAAATTTCTCTGATCAACAACTTATAAAATGTTTATGCCTGCAACTCCTTGCTCTTTTTTATACTGATTTAAATGAGTGCAGTAAATCGAGCCGGTTGAGTGCACAGGCCATCGAGGTTTGTAAACAAATTGGTAATTACAATCTCTTTTTAATTGGTGATTGCGAGGAAACTTTATTTTTGACGCAAAAGGAGTACAAAGGCGAGCAATTAATATTGTTTGTCCATCTTTTATTTATCTGGTCAAAACAAATTTTAAGTCATGAGACACAACTCTACTTTTTAAACTTTGTTTATCAATTGGAGCAGCAGCTTGAAAGTAAGGCATTTAATGCTTCACAATATTTATCTCAAATATTCGCATACGGTGATTGTCTTTTAGCTTTTCTTGGCGTTGGTGTAGGACAAGAAGGTCTTTTCGATGAAAAGTTCACGTTTCTTAAAAAATCAGTGATGTTGGATGATTTTTGTTTTTTGTCGGAGATGTCTTCCGTTTTGTCTCCCAAGCGATTGCTTAATTGCTATACTTTTCAAATGATTATGGACGATCAAGAATATGAAAAAAATCCAAATGTTCTTCACACATGCCGTAACGCACTTGATCTTTCTCTTAAGCAATGTGGTAAACAACATTGGAATACCGCGTTCTGTTACCTCAAAATGGGTTTTGCTGAGAATAATGCTGAAAATTATATATCTGCTCTTAATGCATTTGACCAGGCTCTGGAAATCATGACAGCCACTTATAATGAGAGCAGCAGCAGTAATGCTGATCTAGCCGAAGTCCATATCGGGAAAGGAGAAGCGTATAAATGCCTAAACAAATTTGAATCCGCCGTTGCATCTTTTGAAGAAGCACTTAGAATAAAAAGGAAATTGTGCGATGAAAGTACTGAAGAAATCGCTCATATCTTAGCTTTGCTAGGTGATTCGCAACAGTGTTTCAATGATTTAATTTCTGGTCTTGCAACACTTGAACGGGCTCTGCAAATAAGGGAAAAGCTGTATGCTGAGAAGCCAAGCTCCTGTGGGTATTTAAAAGTATTTCAATCTTACTGTGATATTGCACATGTGCACAACGCGCTTGGCAACGACACTGAAGCTATAAAATCTTTAAAAACTGCACTTGAAGTGAGCACGGATTGCGATCAAGAGCGTTTAATTGCACATGGTTTAATTTTTTTTGGACTTTTAAATATGGAGGTAGATGAAAACGTGTACATGGAATTGTTGAATAGTTGTTTACCAGTGATCAAGAAAAATTATAGGTCGTTATTACCTACAATGTATTTGAGTTTAGGTTCGAAACAAGTTGGGTCAGGAAAGTATAAAGCCGGTGTATCGTTCTTTCAAGAAGCTCTTGACATTGAGTTAGAGATCACACTGAGAAGCAATCTTACTAATCGAGAGATGACGGTTTCATCCTACATTGCCATGGTTGAAACCTTATTTGATATTGGAAAGTTTAAATTGACGAGAAAGGCAATCGAGAGAGCAACTCAAGTAGCAGAATCACTTCCTGAATGTAGACAATATCTTTGGATCTTTCGATGTTATACATGGAAGGGCCGCATTCAAAACAAAATGCGGAAATATATCACAGCAATTGATTCTCTTAAACACGCACTTCTGCAACTTCCACAAATTTGTCATCAATCCTGTGATAAACTCGAAGAATTTCAATGTCATAGTGCGATTGCAACAGCTTATTTCTATGTTGGATCTTATGAAGATGCGCTTAGGTCATTTTATGACTCATTGTCTGTCATTAAAGGTCGTTTTCCGGAGGGAAGCGAGAGTGAAGCTCAAGTATATCTCCTTTTGGCCGAAGTGGCCCAAAAAATGAAAAACAAAATTTTGGAAGTGAGTAATTTGCGCTTAGCATATAAGATGTATTCAAAAGTTCTAGGAAAAACCCACTCCCAGACAGAAGTAATCTATATTGCATATGCCAGAGCTCTTATACAGTAGGTCCACGTTAATTGTCATTTTGTCGTCATAGAATGTATAATCATAAACACCAATGTCTATACTATCAATGGCGTATTGTGAGACGGTCGATTATTTAAGTTCAATGCTGCAAGGGTTTGAAACACGTGCACTTGTACGGTTCTTTTGATTTGGTAGTTCACCACTTCAAAGAGTATTCTTAAGAACTATATTTCCAGCAGAATTGAGCTTCAACGTCCTCAATGACAAGACTTGGCATCACCTGAAAGTCTGGTTTGTAGTTTAAAACAAATATTGTTCCCTCGTGCCATGTACGGCAGCTGCTTCTTATTATAAACGTTCATATAGCCGTAGACAACAAAGTAGTTGTCTACAAAATCGCAATCTTTGACTCAATCACATGACATTTTCCCATGCACCACACATGATATCTAGACTTTTAACTACAGCTTACCCATGACTTACAGTAATCATATCCTCGTATGATTCTTGTAACTTGCACTTGTTGATGGTGTTTAATTGATGGCGTCCTTTTAGCAGGACCTACTTCTTTTGAAGGTTTAACTGTGGACACCGGTATGTATATTTTCATCCATTCATGGACCAGGTTGTTAGGGAGTATTGAACAAGTTGCGTCTTACGAACAATTTTTAAAACGTTTTGGGGAGCAGATAAAAGTAGAGGAATTCAACGTAATGCTTTCTTGGTGTGTTTCTGTTCATCAACTCTTTAATACCACATGTAGTTATTATGCAAGAACCGCTCCAACAACAACTTCAACAACTACGGCAACAGTAACCGTAGCAACAATTGTGAAACAATGAACAGGCATACGGTGTTCGAAGATCAGATCAATACGTGGAAATATTTGACATTCTGCAGGGAAGGATTTAATCATATCAGGTAGAGCGTGCTCATTGAGCTATGGTTATGGCTCATGGTGTGACATTGACAAAGTTTCTGAGTGGTCGAGCTATGACAGCAAGGCACTATAGCCTGCGGTCTTACTTAGCAATTTCACAATGATGCTACTATCTCATCATGCTCTAATTATATTTCTATTTTGTGAATGCCTTTCCAAACCTAAAAATGGAATTCATACGGATACCCCCTCCCATATGAGCGCAGATACATGTACCTTTGGCGTTCAATTGGCGTCGTGGCAGGCTAAGTCATAATTATCAAAACGTGCAAATATAATAATAGAGCTCTGCAAACCAAAATATACAACTTTCAATTTCCACAAGCATTCTTTTTAAACTTTTATCATAATATTATGCCGAGGAACATTCGACCAGAAAATTTTGCCATTGTGTGCTTCAATTGATTTGTATAGGTAATCCTGCCATGGCGAGTACAATTAGGGATTAACAGTACGAGTGATGTTTGGAAATTTTGCCAAAATTGGACGAGCCGCCGGGGCGAGTCCAATTTGGCAAATTTCCAAACATCACGAGTACTATTAATCCATAATTGTACGAGCAACATCGCATGATTACTTGTTTATTATTAGCATGACAAAATTGGATACCTCTCAATGTTAACATCATATATTCTCTCGCCAAAGCCCAGTCCTGCCAGACTTTCAACCAAAATTTGGTGCTTTTGTTTGTATTTTCATTTAGTTATTTTGTTGGAGCAAAATTTGGTGCTTTTGTTTGTATTTTCATCTAGTCCCTCTAGGGCAATTTCATTTCACGCTTGTGTTTAAAATACCTTTCCGCCATTTTGTTTGTTTTGGGAAAATCATTAATAGTACTGCAGTACAATTAATGAAATAATTATACTCCTCTCAACCAATCAGCATCCAGTAATTTTGTCATGCTAATAATAAACTTTGTAATCCTGAAATTACTCGTTGCGAGGTTAAAACTGTTTCCAGCTTACACATTTCGAGCATGGTCGAAGATTTTTATTTTAGGGGCGGACGGGACGAGGATATTGAAGATTTTTATTCCTTCATCATGTCAAAATTGACGTTTGAGATAAAAATTGAATTAATCTTTTTCATACGAAAAATGAAACTGGATGTCTGGGGTGAGACGAGGATTATGATCTCGCTAACGTAACTGTTGTGATCAAATGAGCTTGAAAACTGATGTTTTCTATTAATTTGCTTTATAATCTAATCAACATATTTTGGAATTACCAGTTGTCCAATTATTGGATTTCCTGCAATAAATGTCAGAATAACAATTGGTATTGTCTCGATTAGGTGGGAGTTAAGAGCAATTATATATGACAAAATCATAACCTTCAGGTAGGACATGTGGATAAGATGCTATGAACTGAAAAATGATGCTCTTGAAAAATGAGAAACAGTTGGGTTTAATTAATATAATCCAAGAATTCAATAATATACAGTTATAGTATCAGGAAAATGCCCAAAAGGAAAATATCTTAATTATTTTTAGTTAAGTATAATTTGATTACAACTTTACAATTATATTACAAATGTTTGTCAAAATGAATTTAGTTTTTTTTAAGAGGGAACAGTTCGGACAACTAAAACAGTAGAATGTATTGTATGCATGCGTAACCCCCATTATACAGGGAGTATCAAAGAGTATATCTTATTTTATCCATCTACACCTACATTTTCCACCTTACGGAGAGCCAGTACTGAAATTATTGCCATTTTGGATTCAAATTTAAGAACATGAACAAAGATGGCGTAATGTATGGGGAAATATCGAGAGTTTTGAGCATCTCACTCGATAGACTAACAGTTGAAGATTTATGCAGATGGCAGTTTCGAGCGGAAGGTTATATACAATTTTCAGATCTAACCAGGAACAGCTGCTAAAAATTCAAATATAGGACCTCTGGCTGCGTAAAATGCAACTACATTATTGATGGGGGCTCAAACCTTTCACCCCTCTTCATCTCCGCTGCCCTGGCCAATTACAAATCCATTGGAAAGGCCATCGTTTCGTATTATACTGTATGTCAAAGAACTTGTCCGTCTTCTCTTAAAATATTGCCAATTGTGATCTGATCTGGAGGCTATTTATTTTCCTATTGTAAATATTGTTAAGCAAAGTTTCAAAAAAACGTTTTGGTTGATTTTTTAGTTTAAAAATTGTTTCACTCTTCGGTTTCACTCGACGTACAAAATACAAACGTTAAAAACATCAAACGTGGACAGATGCCTCATTAGCTCAGTGCTTGGAGCACTGGTCTTGTAAACCAGGGATCAGAAGTTCAATTCTGTGATGGGGCTCGTAGCATAAGTATAGTATTTTGAGAATGAAATCAAAACTGTATGATTGCGGTGGAAAATTTATTTTCCCCTGAAAAAATAGTCATCGTAAAATTTGAAGATGCATGTTTTTAAAATCAAACAATGAGAATCAGGAATTTACATCTCTTGCAAATGTTATCTAATTTGGACACAAGAAATCATTATCCGCCATCCACTGTAAATACATCCACAAAACAGTTGTTGAACTAAAAACAATATATCGCCGTGGAACTAATTTGTGTAATGAGCAAAAGCATCAATAGAAAATTCCACGTTTTCATAGCATGTGGAAAAGGTTTACTGAACGGATATGCGTCGATCTTAGCTCAGGCGCTAGAGCACTGGTCTAGTAACCCAGGGGTCCAGAGTTCAGTGGCGGCGCCAGGCTTCCAAATTTGGTGGGGGGGGGCATTTGAGGGGCAAACTCAAATTTGGGGGGGGGGCAAGATAGAATTTTTAAAAAGGTCGCCCCCC